CCCCATAAGGGATTTTTGATTTTTGCTAAAATTTCAGTTTTTTTCAAATTAATCCGTTTTTTCGCAATTTTTCAAAATTCTGGTTTATAGAAGTTGTAGAGCAGCTCGAATTACATCGAAAATGAGTAAATTCTTGAAATTTGGTCGTCTCCTTAATTCTATGTGCTCATTTTGAGAAAAATTTGACTTTTCGATGTACTTCTGAGTGCTTTTCAGCTTCTCAAACTTCGTTTTTTCACTTTTATTTTTTTATTGACTATTCCCAGCATGAAAATAATTTTTCCAGGTTGTCATCGATCTTCAAGTTACGATTTTTTCAACCAAAAAAGGAAAAATCATTAAAAGGAAGGAATCGCGATTAGTTAACAATAACAGACTCGTAATTCTCCGCCAAAGTTATTTTCAGATCGAGTTCAACTCGCGAACAAATAAAAGTGGACATAAAATACGGCAAAACTCATTCGTTCTCAATAGTTTAGTTCTGTGGTTTTTTTTAATGCTCCTCCATCGTCTAATAAACATGTTCAGAAAACTCTTTTCGTTTTTACCTACCGAACTGATTCATTTAATAACTCTTTTTGAGCATTCTACCCGTTTATTTGTTTTCTTTTTCGGCTCTGCAATTTGACTGATTTCAGGCAATTTCTCATACGAAACAAAAAAAAACAACAGGAATCAATACTAATTTATTTTTTTTTGTTATAAGATATTTTCCAGAAGAGATTTATCGTTTTTCCTCAACTGGCTTTATTGAAGTTGATCTGGACGTCTGCTTTTGGCTAAATTTTAGTTGTTCGCGAGTTGAACTCGATCTGAAAATTGAAGATTGGGATATGTATTCTGAATTCTTTGAAAATCCTTTAGAATCTTCCTTCCCTTTCTGACTAGGTCCTAGGTTTTGAAAGATTTTCTTAGAATTCATTCGACATCCTGATTCAACTCCTGGTTTCCTTTAAACTTTCGAGCCCCGACGGCTATGGCTGACTGAGATTTCAGTCAGTCAAGGGTTTAGCTGTGTTTGAAAGTGTATTGAAGATTGGGAGATGTCTTCTGAATTCTTTGAAAATCCTTTAGAATCTTCCTTCCCTTTCTGATTAGGTCCTAGGTTTTGAAAGATTTTCTTAGAATTCATTTGACATTACTCCTGGTTTCCTTTACACTTTCGAGCCCCGACGGCTATGGCTGACTGAGATTTCAGTCAGTCAAGGGTTTAGCTGTGTTTGAAAGTGTACCAGTCGGTTTACGCCCCCTGTCGGGGGCTCAACCTCCTGGCTTCCGCTTTCTGTATCTTACAATTTAATTTCTAATTTAAAAATCTTCGAGTTTCCGAATTCACCAAAATTTGTGAAAGTTTTGCATACTATCAATTTTTTTCGAGGAATATTTGATTTCCCAAATTTTCAAAATTTCCAAACTATTGAAAAAGATTTTTTATGTTCTGAAATCCGGAGTATGTGAACTCCCGGTTTCCAGAAGTTTCAAATTTTGGATAACTAAATGTCAGGTTTACTAAACTTTCTGTTCTCCGAAAATTCTGAATTTCGAAATTTTCGAATTTTGAAAAACAGTCGGTTTGCGCCCCTCCGGGCTGAGCCTCCTGGCTCCCGCTTACAGTACCCGTTGTTTTATAGACAGGTTTTGTCATTTTTCCAGGAACTATTTTTTCATGGTCTGTTAGGAAATTTCGAAATTCGATATTTTGGTTATTTAGAATTCCTAGAATTCGGAAAGTTGGAAGTAAGAAAATCCGGAAATTGAAAAAGTAAGACACTCGCAAGTTCAGAGATTAGTACATCTTAAAAAATCAGATGTAGGAAAACATTAATTTTGAAACCGAGAAAAGTGTTTCAATCTGTGAGTCTCAAATACCCAAATTTTGGTATATCAGATTTTGGCCTGAAACGGCAATGTTCGCAAAATTTATAGAATTTCGAAAAAGTTTAGAATCGAGAATTTGAGAACCTGAAAAATTAGAAATTCAGAAATTCAACTTTTCGAAACACAGTCTCGTCGAAAAGTTTTTGGAACTTCGGAAAATCGGAAATGTAGATTTCAGAATTCGAAAACTCTACATTTCGAAAATTTAGACATTCCGAAATTTGAAAACCTTAAATGTTGGAAAATCTGAAGCTTTGAAATTTTTTGGCATATTCGGTGAATAAGATCTCAGAAATTTATATATTCCGAAATTTGAAAGATGTGAAATTAAGTTCTGAAATTTTAAAAATTATTCTGAATTCTGAAAAATCGATTGATTAGAAAGGGCGCTGTCATTTTCCCTCCCATTCTGTTTCTTTCTTTTTTTCCTTTTATTTTCTTTCTTTTCCAC